GAGAAACGAGAGTAAAACAGCGATGGTCGCGAAGGGAAAATGAAAACCACGCATCTGCGTACGAGGAGGGAGCGAGAGGGTAAAATCGGACGGGGAGAGAGGCGCGTTGTCTCTCCCGGAAAGTGGAAATTTGACGACGGCAGCACGAAAAGTAAAAAGGGAGAGAGCGAAGCGCACCCTTATTATATGCGCGTTCCGCACGAGCGGGGAGCAAAAAGCACCTCGAATCCTTTAACCGGGATGAATCGAAAGAAGAAAAAAAAAACCTCGTGTGATTTATCGCGTCACGCCGCCGATTTAAAATATCAGGAGAAGCGCCAAGTTTTTAATGGTATCGCGCACCCCGGCGCGAAATATCGCGCACGTTTCGTCCACAGAGATATTTCGTATCATATCGAAAAAGAAAAAGAAACGCAACTCTCAAGAAGCTCGTGTAATCGTATCTTCATGAATCACTGCTGGCTGGATTATAGTAACTTATAATGCCGCTCCGTTATTTCCCATATTATTAATCAATAAATCCGATATTAAAGTTTTGACTACACGTCAGTATCCTTCTTAGGGACCGCCGCGCTTCTCGTAATCTCGTCGGAACTTTCCCATTAGGCAACCATGGGCATCCAGTATTCGGACGTTACGACGCCTCATATTAATTTTATCCGACTCCGAGCTTCCAGCCTCGTCTCTCGCGAGACGTAGATGATCGATGAAGAAAGGTTCTCATCGACTGCGGCGACGTTTAAAGGCGGCGAACGGCTCCATCAGGCCGGTACACTGACACGGTACCACGTTAATCCCGATGCTATTGTCGTAAGATTCAGCGTAAGGTTATTCGGGTAGCCAATCGAGCGTCAGTGAGTACGCGACGATCAGGTTTATGTGCCATAAAACGAGGATTGCTGCCAGGCTGGCGAACTTCCCGTTCGTGCGACACTCTCGAATGTTGCCTCGGACGCCTCGCCGTGATCACGCACTCTCGATTTATTTCGATCGAAGTGACCATGAACGGCAAACAAAGAGAAAAACCGTGAAAGTGAAGCGAATCGGTCACAGATCATTTGCACGTAAATTCTAATTATCGCGCCATTGTCAGCTAATTCTTTTTCTCTTCAATTGAAAGCTAAACGCCCATATGGAAAATGATACAAATTTTACTTAACGAAGTTGCTTAAAAAAATTTGCTTAAAAAAATTATTTTAGTAAATATTATTATTAAATCTGAAATATTAAGTCGTTACTCGACGAGATAATTTAATCTTAAGATTTTTCATTCCGTTCAGATAGAAACAGAAGGATGACTTGTCAAAATTTTTGCTAATGATTTACTTTGGTTGTGTTATTACTAAAAATTTATTTAGGATATTAATTCTCATCGGAGATGGCGGTGTAGATATATCGGCAGATATATTTATCGGATCGACAAATATAATATATCGCTCCATTCCCGAAGGAACGAGTGACTTGTTAGATGTCGAGATATTAACGCTCGAACGGACAGGTAAAAAAGTTTGGAAAGGTGCGTCGAGGTGAAGGATATTCAGGTGCAAGATTTGAAACAGGATTGGAAAACGAGGAATTAATTTGAATGGGGCACGTGTGAAATATCTTTGTGATCGGCGTATTACAAATCAAGAATACAAATTTCAACTGGTTTTTCCTCTGACGATTGATGTTTCAATATTAATAAGATTTTTGATAAAAACATGTGTTAAATCATGAGATAACGATATAAATATTTTAAATAAAAATCCTGAAGCAATAAGTCACGTGTTGTGAAGGGCACATTAGATAAATACTTTTGCACATTCTCACCATGGCTATATCGTTAAAAAGAGATCGATAAAACTGAAGTTTCATCTACCTTTACGCTCTGTGTGTTAACCCGAAAAACGATCCTGATTGCAGCCAATAGAAAGACGGATTGATGCCAGAATAGCCATGTTGTGACAGCAACACGAATTAATCCCTTTCCTTCGGGGGAAAGGGTAAACCGAATAGCGAGCCCTTTTCGAGGGATAGGGTTGCGCAAGGGTTGAGACGGAACGATGGCGGTATCGGTTTCAAAATGGCGGTAACATCACATGCTTAATGTAATGTAGATAATAAGCATTTTTTTTAATGTAAAATGCTTTAATGATACGTTCCCCAAGTGCAATGCCTAAAAAAAAGAAGAGAAAGCGACTAAAACAATTAGAAACATTTTGAAATTTTTTTTCGATTAAAAATTTCTTGCTTAATAAAAAGTCGCTGTGTAGAGAATTAGACGCGTTTAATCAATCCGTTTTAAATTAATTATTAACAAGTGTAAGTCTCGAATGTCATGTAACGTCTGTCGTTGTCTCTGCTTGATATTCAGCCGACGTTAGTTTCCGTTTCCTGTACGGCTGCGGCGCCTAGTTCCATTAACTAGTCGTAAGGACAAGAAACGCAGGAGAGAGAGAGATTCGTCTGCGCGCGAGATCGGAGGCCATTTATTTCGCGACATGAATATTCCCCGTCGTCCTCGTAACTTGTTTCCTGTCATTCGAGGATCTATAACCGCCGGTGTGTGGTGGCATAAATTTTAAAAAAAGGCAAACTGAGAGAAGTGGGCGCTTTGTCGCCATAACTCACCGGAAACGCCACCTCCGCAAGAAAGGTGCTAACCAAGAAGTCTAATGAGACCCCGAACTGTTTAAGATGCTCGATCTTACGCTGATGACGAAGATCTGTCTGACAAACTCTAACAATCGTGGACCACACTGTTCGTTCTGAAAACGGCTATTATAACGGCATTTTGAGAAGTCAATGTACGTGTTTTTTATATTTAGTGAGATTTAGATATGATTCAGATAACTGATACAAATAACAATAAAAGTAAATAAGCAAATAACAAAATCAATTTTGAAACCAAACAGTGTAACTTAGCCACCTTACTAAAATTCAAAAACTTTTATTTATTGCTTTCATGCTTTTATGTTGAAGGCAATAAATAAATAGATCAATCAAATATGATCTATCACATTTGATTAGGAATTTTATAAAATTACATGAGATATTCTTTAAACAATATTACTGTGAAAGGGAACAGCTTATCTCAATATAATAGCAGAAAATACATGAAACATACATAACTGATAATACAGCATAGTAATAATTACGCTCTTCTTTCTTCTTTCTTCAATCATATATTTGAATATCTTACACTCCGTACGTTTCGGCTCCATTTGAGTTAACTTCATATCAAAACAACAAAAAACAACAAAGTAATATTCATTTAGAAAAAATGGTCTCTGTGTCATCATATATAGGCAAAATGTAAAATAATTTAAACATGTAAGCGTTTCTACCATGTATAAGTTATCCCGGTAAAAATAATATAAAAACACATAATAAAAAAGATAAAGTAACAAAAAGGCCATAACTATCTTCTAATAAAATCAATATAATGTTCCATCTATTTTTTTTTAAAGTTCCGTTAAGATCCTTCTATACTTATTTGCGATGCCGATAACATGTCTCGATGAATGGCCATCTCGATGCAGTGCTCACGCATAAATCACGATTACGGCAGCCGCGCGTCGACGTGATGCACGTGTGAATCGTTGTTACGCGCGCGAGACGCAAAGATAGGTTCCATGCAAGCACCGGCAAGACTACTATCGTAGGTACACACAACCCGCATTCACGTATACATATATTCCCACCAGCTTCTCTGAAATCATTATCGACAATGGCGCGGGACAGACGGCCATCAAGTTCGGACAATGAGCAATGTCGGCAGCGACGTTGTCAGTCAACCCCCGGTGTACAGAAGCCGCCGTGGAGTCTCTCCTCCGTAACCCCTCGATCCTGTCTCCGTCCTTCTCCGTTCTGTCGCGTTCTCCCTGGTTGTTCGATCTAGAAAAAGGTGGGGTTCCGGTGCAGATTGCACAACCGTCCGACGCCAGCTGGCCAACCCCTTGACCCCGGGCAGGGTGGACGCTCATAAAGATCCCCCACGTAACCCGGCGCGATCTGACCAGAGGGGGTTGCGGAAGAAAAGGTGTCCAGCCGGCCGTTACTCCGTCACACCTCGATACTGACCGATTGGACAGACATTGAAACGGCGCGCTCGCGCGAGATGGCGGGTAAAGAATTGCGAAACGCGAGGAGAATAAACGAGAGGCATAAAGGGGCTGGACACAGAAATACGTCCCAGGTGACCGGGTAAAATGGGACGCGCCGGTCTCTCGTTATCGGGGTGAAGGTGAAAATCCGGTTTTGGATTTCGCGTCGCGCTATTCTCATTCCGTAGCCTTCGTCCCGACCCCGAAATCGCGACTCGAAGACACGACAAGTCGCCGGAAGTCGCGCGGCGTTCCCGTCCGCCTCGCCGTTGCGTTATGCATTCACAAACACAACAGAACAGGTGACACACTCGAAGCTCAACAACGCGGTTGGCCACGGCCGGACGAAGCAGCGTTGGAGGACGAAGCAGCTGTACAGCCTGCAGTTCCAGCACTGGCTATCTCGCTGTTTGAGGAACTTTTATCCTTATCTGCAGCCCGTCGAGTTTTCCCGCCCCGAGGTATACGTCGATGCATATTCGTAGAAACACGTCTCGTCCGATTTACTACTCCGTCTCATTATCAATTCACGTATATCCTAACTTAATTATCTATGAACAGCTAGTGGACTCCGCTATAGTCTGGCCACTTATTTCCGGGACGCCTCGCAGATGGGACCGACCGTTCGCTAAAGAAAAGAAAGGGCGATTTAGTAAGAATTCACGCTCGAACCGTTCCGACGCGATTTCGATCCCACTTCTTTATCCAGGCGGATCGGCAGATCGCCAAGAACATCGTTTCTATCGCAGGTACTTTACGGCTCGTTCCATCTCCCGGCGTCCCTGTTCTCTCTTCCAGCCGGCGGAGTCTTTTTTTTTTTTTATAGGGATCGTGCTGGACCCCTTTCGGAACTACCTGGGCGCGTGCGTGGCGCGTTTCTAGCACGGTCGACACGTTTCTTTTTTTTTTTTACGAAAAAGAGCACGCCGAGCTACCTGGAACACGCGGGAGAGAAACGAATTAATATATCGAGTAATGGATTAAGGGACCAGGAGACCTACCCCACTGAACGTCGATGCAACCCTCTCTTCTTTCCGTCGATGCGTTTATACCTGCGCCTCTCCGCGGGATGCACGCGCTTATGGTCGCGTAAACCGCACGCACCATACGCTATTATGGTATGAAAAGGGGGGAGGGTCGATAGGGTTGCGAAAACGACAGTCCCTTTCCTTTCTTTTTTTTTTCTCCGCGCTCACACCTCTCTGGCGAAGTAATTGGAAAGCGATATATCCTTCCGCTCGATGAAAACGGGTGCTTTATTGAGTGGCACCGACCGACGTGCAATAAAAGTCATCGTAGCGACGATCATGATCAGCGACAGGTTCATCCTAGAATGAAGAAAAAGAAAATAAACACGTGTCATTTTGTAATAATCTGCATATGGATTGTTTGATTTTAATTTTGTAACGCATCAATACTTAATTAACATGTATAAATTATATAAAAATTTGATTAATTATAGTAAAAAATTAGTGCATAAATTCAGATATTTAAATCATACATAGGTTATATTAATTAACATTTTATATTAAGTACATACATATTTTACAAATGATAATATATGATTTGAACTCAAATAATCATCACGTACAAACAAATGGCAGTTGTATGCGCAACGTGGAAACATCAGAGAACAAATGATTCATTTAACCCACCTTATTGAGAACGTGGCAGACCGGAAAACGCCCACTACCGACACGACAGCCATGGGACCTCGTTAAACAACGCAAAATTGCAGAACTCGTCCGTGAACTAATTGTGGAGTATCGTAGAACGAACGACATTTGTTTGCTTCGCTTCGTGGTGGGTAAACTCCCACGAGATAGCTGAAGAAGAGGAAAGGATCAGGTATTCACCTGCACGAAAGGTTCACCATACTCTTCCATAACCCTCTCTGGCCAAAACCGATATATACCGGGCGTGACACCTGTTACGGTTATGCACGTTAGCGATGCACAGGGGTCGAACAGTTAGAGAGAACTGAAAAGGGTAAGGCCCCAGAACGGTGCATCGGGACATACAAACCCTTCCGCAACCCTTTCTCCCTCCTTTCCCCGCGTCCCGTACGGGACTTCGGCCCATATAATCGCAGGTATAACGTATACACTAGCACCTTGTGCGGCCTGAACGCGACACAATGCGCCGTAACCCTTTCGAGGCATTATGTTCCTAAACGTTATCCCATCGAAAATAAACGGAAAGAAAAAAAAACAAACCGCTGAATAACAGGTTGTGGGATACGTTAGTCCTTTTTTCCCTTTTAATATATCGAGTCGTCTTCCTAATATTTCCTAATACTTTTCGCATCTTGCGCTTTGCCTGTGAAAAGACATTTCCTGTTATAAGAAATGACTTTTATTAAGTATGAAACAACGTAATAAACGGTTGACCTAATTATTGAAATCTGTTATTTTTTTAAAAACGAAACATTCCGAGAAACTGCAATAAAAATACAATAGTCTACTAAAATACTGATTTTTCGTTTTTTCAACGACAGATGATATAGCTGAAGATGATGTGACTTACGACAAAAGCAATAATTTACGAACAGAATTCTTTTTTTAAATAATAATAAACAATAATCTAAGAAAGATGTTTTTAAAACAACAAAAAAATCACAGATTAATCGGCAAACAGAGGCTTGGTGTCGACTAACTTTTCCTTCGTTTTCTTGAATACAAGGCATAATATAAAGGCAAATGCTTTATATCGCGAACTACTACTCAATTACCAAACTCTCTATTCAACGAAATTCTTTTTTTAATTTTTTAAACATCGAATTTCGATATAATTTAAAGAATTGAAAAATTTAGTACGTTCCGACATCGACTTTCATTAAACACACACGTCGCCGAATGACAGTTTTGACTGCGTTGCTGGCGGTCGTCTTAGAAGAATTGGAGACCTCCGACCACGCGATATTTAGAGAACGAGCTGCTCGCGGTTTTAGAAAAAATGGGAAAAAACGAAAAGTGGAGCGCGATACCGAAAGCAATAATTATCGGTGCGCTCGGAGCGATCGTTGTGATTGTCGGCGCCGGCCGGAAGTAGGTGGCGTTTAACCCGGGACCGCACGAAAAGGGATGAAAGGGCGAGCCGATCGGACTCGTTCGTTTAAGACGGGCTGGGGAATTAGTCGGTACCGATAATAAGAGGTCGCTTTTCCCTTTGCCTCTTCAACCGGTAAGTAGAGGTATCATCGTTAAACCTTAAGTGGACGAAGGAAGAACGAAGAGGAAAACGAAACGAGATGACAATTCTTTAGGAGAACGTTATTGAAATCCGTGAGCTTTTATTATAATGCTGATTAAACACGCGACATCAAACAAAGATAATATTTCTTTATTAGCATTGATGTCCTTGTCTCTACAAACCATCAATCCGCGAAAGGGGCGAAAAAAAATTTTAAATATTCCATAATGGACTCGCGCTATTAATTGCGAAGCCAATTAATGGAGACAGGGTCGACATTTAAAGGCGTGGTAAAAGCTTCTTGGGACTTCAATGGGGTGGTAATCTATTCCTGGCATTTGCTGTAATTAGTAAAGGTTAAGCCTTAGTAAGGTTGCCCTCTATAATTTACGATGTTGGTCTCTATAACGTGACAAAACACAGTGCTCTGTCTATAAACGAGATTCGAAAATCAGTTGAAAGGCTAAAATTTGAATTAAAAATCCGCGTGATTGCTACGTCCTCTTTTTCCGCTCACGTTCGCTCTGAGAAACCGTCTAAGTTTACAGATTGTCACGTAAGTCTTTGTCAGAAGAAACACGATACGTAAAATTACGCATCATATTACCAGTTCCTTATTTCAAATTTTATTTAATTGGAGAATCAAGTCTCCCGAACATATATTCTTCATGAAAATTGTTTTCATACGTCAACCAATGCGTGCCAGATCTTCTCGAATATTTTATTCACGAATATTCGATTATTTTATATATTAAATTAAAAATATGGGGTGCAAATTAAGAAACGTTGCAACGACATTTAACAATGCCGACACGTTTACAGTGTAAAATGATTGGAGAATTATATTAAGAATTGAAAAATGGAGACAGTGAGCAACACAAACACCCCGTTAAAGCTAACATTATAGCTATAACAGCAAAGCAACAAAGTTGGGGCCCAATTAATCTTTTCCAGCGGGTTCTTCGCACGCACGAACGATTTAACGAGGTTGCTCGAAGCAACGCGCCGCCCACCGAGGACCGATTAATCTTCCCGCGAGAGTAAGCGAGCGAGCGAGCGAGAAGAGTTCCTCCGAATCACGAGAGAAACACCGGCGTAAAATTAGCTAACACCACATCGGCAAGAATCTCCAGATTCCTCTTCCTCGAAGATAGCATGATGCTGCAACTATAATCCGCCATCGCGGTAGACGGCGAGAAATCGTCTCGGGCTCCCAGTGGGTTGCCGCGGTTCGCGCCCGGTCACCCTTTGTTTGAGAAGCGAATTGCCGATTCATCTCGACGCGTAATTATTTTTCGTGGAAGCAACGAACTTTAGACGGCGCGCCGTGGGGAACCCCTCGAAACGATCAGAATCCATCGCCGCATCACCATCGTAAAAATTGTAAAAATTGGTTACAGGCATTTCTATATTATTCTTCTAAACCCTCTCACATCTTTTAAAAATTATTATCGCAAGAAAGATATAAATTTCTTCTTTTACCAATCTGTCCAATAATATCGAATTCTTACGCCTTCATTAATTGCTAAAAAAAATAATATAAGCCAATATGTATAATGGAGTTAAAATTCTCGGAAATTCTTTTCGCAAAATTACGCGGCTCTTCTCGGTACAAGAAGTAGTAATGATTAATATAATAATAATTCTATTTCTTCTAATAGTCTGATATTTATATTTAAAGAACTTCACTGGGATAACGTATTCTCTGGGAAAAAAAAAAAAGTTCGGCGATAGACCGCCGGGGAGATTAACTCTTCCTCTTGATTCCGAAGGGTGAACAAAAGGGCGAGAGGTTCTGCGACAAGAAGGAAAGAAGGCGACCATTATTCCCTGGGCGCTTTATCTGCTTCTCTCCGAGAAACAAAAGTTCGCAATGGCGGCGGTGGCGGCGGCGGCGGCGTTAGTGCCCACGACTATCGATCTTTTCGCCCTTTCGCGGGCTGGTCCCTCGCAGGGAATAATGCGCGCGACGCGAAGATATACCTTGATCCGCAGATATCCAGCGGTCACGATCCCCGCGAACTTTTATATCGAGGGTCGCTGAAGTTTTTTGGCGCGTACTTCAAAGAAGTTCCCGCAGAAAGGTGGGGAGAAGAAGAAAGAAGAGAGAAGGGGCGAAAGGAAAGACCGTCGACAAGTTCAGGATGGCACCGCACCATCAAATATTCTATGAATTCCGAGTCGGCTTTGTGTCGGAATACAGTGTCGCGAAAAGAGATATTTCGCCGCATTAAATTTTTATCGAAAACTTTTGCACTCCCCGTGATAAAATATACCGGTGGGCGGCCACCCCCTGCCGCCACCCCCTGCGCATCATGCTTATTTATTCATCCGATGCACGCGCGGTAACCTTCGACAATTTTCTTAATCGATAAAATTGTCCAGCGATATTTCCTGCGTTTCTCTTTCTTTTTTTTTTTTTGTGTTACGCGACTTACGGGCGCCATTCCGGAAAAAATTGCGACATTTATAAATTGCAGCTTTACGAGTAGACTCGATAGAATTTATTTGTCTTACAATTGAGCGAACGTCATAACGTCTTAGATCAAGAAATCAATCTTAATGTGTGTCTTCCGTAGTAAGTAAACTATAATCCCGTTAACATACGTCTAATACAGCTCGAAGATTCCAAGATATACATACTCGCACGACAACTTTAAAGTTGGATTATATAAGTAAATACACCGTAGAAGCGTCTTCTCGAAGTATATTTCTCGCCTGGCTCATGCTTAAGAACAAAGATGGCGATCTCATCAAGAAGTAATACGATACACCGCCAATCCCGTCGAACAACGAGAGGAAACCTTCGAACTAGCAGAAGCCATAATTTCGCAAAATGAGGTAAGCTTCGTCTATCTCTTCTCCTCGGGACGTCCCTCAAGGCTGGCATGGGGTTACATCCCCCTTCTACGATCACCCCATCGCTCCGACCAACCCCCTCGTGTCATGTTGGGGTTGTGCGCTGCACAACTGACCAATAAGCTACCCCTCGCGCTTATGTCCACACCGACTATTCGATCGATAGTTACAGTATCCATGTAACTTTCTCCGTCCACCATCAACTCCCTCGTAATGCCCGGTTCGGTTCAACTCGACTCGCACGACATTTCGCAGAAATAATACGCCTCGCGTTTTC